CACTTCAGGATCCAGGAACGGATCGGAAAGGGGCAGTGTTTCCGGCTGAAGTTGCAAACAACATGGCCGCTCCGAAGCAGACCTCAGATTCGTCTGACTGCCAAAATATGGAGAGCCTCAAGTGAAACCCTACTAGCGTCATCTTGGTGACGTATCACGAGGTCGCGCTGGGATGCCGTTCGTACGCGATATCAGTAGAGGACAACTGGATAGAGACAAACTATCATGCTCCCTAAATTCTTGAAGGGCGTTGACGAAGGCCGTCAAGCGCCGCAAAAGACACCTGACCCCGGGCCCCAATGGCCACACGTGTCTATAAATCAATACCCTGATCCAAGCATGCCAGCCCCATCGGTACTTCCCGTACCACCAAGACGCCTGATATATTTCACAATATCCCATATGCCAGGTGGGCGTGACCGCAGCCCCCGGGGCCGCTGGCCACGCCTGCTTACGCTCGAAATGCACACTCCGCTACGAAGCTCTCCCTTCACATGACAGCACAGGCAGCAGCAACTGTCCTGGCTCTCCTGCGCCCGCCATGCGCAATGCCACCTTCTTCCTCATCGGCGTGCAGCATCTGGGCTTCTCTCGCCCGGCGGCGCCGCCTTCGGTGTCCTGCTCCTGTGGCGCCAGCCTCTTCATTGGCCTGCATGTAATCTGCCCAGCGACGTTCCAGCCTGCTGGCTGCCGAAAAGTCCCCGCGGAGGACACGCTTCATGTGTTCGTCGATCGTCATCTGGAAGCCGTAGAAGGCCTTGAGCCCAATGACTTCCGTGGGATACGAGTCAGGCTGGACGTGAGCATTGCGGAACAGCACCTCGCGAATACCAGTCCAAGTGACGTTCTGGCAATCGTACACAACCATGTTCAGGCTGACAGAGGGCCGGGCTCGAGAATCCGTCGTACGCTTGGCACGCTTATTGACCATGTGTGCTGCCTCTGCAAGGACGAGATCACTGATGCGCGTGTTGTCCAGGTCGATGTTCTGCAGCCGAATGCAGTTCTTGACAACAGGAAGCATGCCAGCGTCACCAAGATCTTCGCAGTAGCCGAGGGAAAGGTGCTCCAGGTGTGGAGCACAGGGAGCTTTGGCGAGATGTTCGGAAAGGAAGGCGTTGGTGAGCTCGGCAAGATCCTCCAGCTCGAGGTGAGTCAGGCGTGGCGTCGAAGCCAGAATGGTCTCGAGTGCAGCGTCGGTCAATGCTGTGCAACCGGACAGCTGCAAGCCTTCAAGGTCTGGTGTCAAGTGACCAAGTGCGCGAACACCCCTGCTCGTAAGGCGGGTGCAGCGACTGAGATCGAGATGGCGCCACTTGCGTCGGGGAACAACAGGGATATCGGTCAAGATGTCGATTTCAGGCTCTTCGCCCTGTACCATGACCATGAGTGCGCGGTCGTCCAGATCAGCGCAACCGTTGAGGATTAGGCGCTCCAGGTTGTTGGTTCTGTACAGCACCTCTGCAACCTCCAGATTGTCAAAGCCCCTAATTTCCCTGGCGCGTAGGTCCGTCAGTTTCGCGCATCCTTTGACGACGGCCTTGATGCCTCTGGCGTCCATGTGTGTGCACCAAGAAACATCCAGTCTTTGCAGCTGAGGGCAGGCCTCTGCAATGATCTTGCATGACATGTTGGTTACGGCGGTGAGGCCTGTCAGGTTGAGATTGGCAAGTCTGGAGTTGTTGCGAAGCAAGGCATGCAATGTACTCCTTTGAAAGTTGCGGCAGCCTTCGAGAGTCGCATCCAAAAGGTTTTGGCAAGCCTTGACAACGACCTCAGCCCTTTGGTAATGCTCTACCTGAACGCAGCCCCGCAAGTTGAGGTCCTTGATAAAGGGACCAGCAGCTACGATGATTTTAGCGAGCGACTCGGCTGGAATCTCGTCGTGGAACTGAGAAGCATCGAAACTCGTCCACAGCTGCCCATCAAAGCATAATTCGTGGAACGACTTGCTGATGCGAGAGGCTTGAACCAGCTCTTTGGGTCGCAGGAAGGAGAAAATGTGTACACTGATCTCGTGTGGCATGTCTTTCCAGAAGTCAAAGTTCTTTTTCGGAATCGCAGGGGTTGCTAGCAGTATTTTCGGGACGGGTTTGATGTCAGTTGGTAGGCCAATCGTGTACGCCCCCGGTGTCAAGGGATTGAATGGCGTCACTCCGGTCTCGATTCTGCGAACGTTGGCGTCGAAATGGGCCTTCTCGCTGGCTGGTGTGCCAGCTTGACGATCCGAGGCGTTCGCATAATCTGATGCTGAGGCTCCTGCGGGGAAGTAGGAATCGCTGCCATCTGTAATGCTTGTGATAGGGCCACCGGAGAGGCTGACGCAAGACAGATGACCCTTGCCTCTGTAAGGGGTACTGCGTGCTCTGGGTCGTCCTATGGAAACCAAGGAGGGGGAGGAAGAAATGCGTTGGATGCGGTGGAGGAGTCTTTGTCGGTTGCCTTTCTTGACCGGGACCTCGTGGAGGTCGGGGTTTTGCTCGTCAACCACCTCCGTGAGCGCAGGGCTCGCAATAGACTCCTGCATGTCGGGCATGACAATGAATCTGGGCGACAAGAGAATCGGGGGACTATAACGAGGTTGGTCGAGGCTGGAGACAGAAGCAACGGACGATGGGAACTGGCCGTGAAGACAGTCCTCGGGATATCGTAATCGGCGTCGGACAAAAGTTGAGGTGGGGGGAGGGGTGAGGTTTGGCTGTTCGGTCAACCCTTTCTCATGTCGAGAGGAAGACTTGACGCCGTGCTCGCAGTCGCAAGGACATTCGATTGGAATAAAAGTTGAACTATGCAATGGAGAAGAACTCAAGAATATGGACAGCTCTGTCGGCGACGGACTGTCGAAATGATTTCCCAAGAGGTAGAGCTGGGGGATGGGCGACTGAAGAAGAAGGGGTCGATTAGCACCTATCGATAAGGGGGGGGGGAAGGGGGTTGTCAGCAGGCAAGTGGGCCAGGGTCCCAGTTGCGGGCGCCCGACTTGCCAGACACGGCTTAGGGAAGGGTCTTGGAGGGGGGCCAAGGTGGGTATGGATCGCACTGCGAGGGGGGCAAGCAGGAGCGGGATGGCGGGGTTTCGGGGATGTCAGTGGGCAGTCGGGCCTTGTCCACGCCGAATCTGCGGCACAGTTTCCTCAAGACCTTCTGTTGCTTGGGTTCTGCGGGACGCCTTGCCAGCCCCCTGCTCTATGAAGGGCGGCCATCTTGGAAGTCCTATCTCTCGGGCAGACAGGGAACGATCATGTTCGACGACTGAGCACGGGATATGGGAGCGACTGGACCAAAGCCACTGGGCTGGCACATGGCCCCCTCGTCGTGAGTCGGGTGTCGGGATCACACGGGCAATGTTTCTTGGGATGACCAGAAAAGGCTCAAAAACTTGTCTCGGGTTGGCCCTGGGGCCCTCAGGGAAAGTCGGAGGATGGAAGGACCAACTTTGCCCGAGTTAGTTAGGTGGTGGGCGGCCCAGCGGGCAGGTCAGCGAGCCAGCAGTTGCTGAAGCGATCCGCCGAAGCCAGTCGTTCCGCCGCTTATCGCGTGGTGGGGTGGGCCCCTGCATCCCCAACGCAGCGGGAGGCGAAAGCAGGGTGACAAGGCAGACCAGGGCATGGGGATTTGGGGGAGGATGCCGTTGTGGACAGAAGTCGTTGCGATGCTGGCTTTGTGTCCACGCAAAGGGCTGCACTGCACGTCGAGGAGAGGAGAGAGCGGACGATTCGAGCTTGCCTACCTTAGGTCACTAGGTGAGTACCTAGGTAGGTAGGTAGCTGCCTGTACAGTAGCCATCGAACTTGGGAGCTCAAATGTCCGCTGCATTCTTCATGTTTCCTAGTCGACGAGTGCACCTGAATCGACAACCCAACACTATGCGACCCCGAAAACACTTGGCAGTCAAGAAGTTGTTTAGTGGCTGGACTCGTCTGGCGGCAAACAGCTGGAGCACGCAACGGCCTTCAGGCTGATCAATGGGGAGAGGGGCGCGATGGTGCCAAGTCGCCAGGGTATGGTGTGCGGGGGAGAGGGGTGCTCTGGCCCTTTCAGAAGTTGCTCACACTCTGTCCTCGACATCCCTGTAGTGGACGCCGGCCAGAACAACAGCGAGTGTGAGGGTTCTCAACTAGAGGCGGGCCGAAGAAGCATCACTGGAATGGTCTCTCTCATCGAGCCGGTGCTCAAGCCTCTTCTTTTGACGAACAGCCGCTGCTGACGAACAGCTTGAGCGGCAAGCTTGTTGATGACCAGGTTGCCGACATGCCCGACTCGTATACTCCGCGGTCAAGGACAAAGAAGATCAGTGGAAACGGTCTCCACGAAATGTGTCGTCTGTGACGGTGCGTATCGGCTGCTTCACATTCGAGGCATTTCTTCCCAGCATCGAGGGAAGTCTTGACTCACCTCGGCTTGGTCAAGGTTGATCCTTTGCCAGCCAGCTGGAGAGGCGGTTAAGGGGCACTACCCCCCATTGCCCCCCAAGACGCACGCTGGATCCGCCGCACTGGCTGGGCTCGTTCCGTCCAGGCTGTTCTCCATTGCCACGTTTCCTGTGCCTTGATATGCCGCCAGAAGAGGTAGCCAGCTTCTCGAACGCCGGCTGCCGTTTCCAGCGCTCGTGTCTCCCGGCGGCCGGCTAGCTATCTCCTCCTGCTCCTGAAGCCCGTGCCCTCAGCTGGTCCAGGACATGGACCTTTGGTCGCCGAGAAACTCACAACAAACAGACCAGCGCTCGTCACACACACACACACACACACACACACACACACACATCGCATGTGCTTGTTGATCATGCGTGAGCGCCCTGGATAGGGCTACGATCTGTTGCACGACCCATGACACAATCATCTGCTCACTACCGTTATCTCAGCAAAGCCTGCATCGTTGAGGCGCCCATGGTGGTGGGTGGGTGAATGTTGACACCCATCACCTCAGTGCAGCATGTTATCTACTGATTGGGCGATCAAGTCTCAGACCCCTCCAAGACCTCCTAGGCAGATCAGCCGACTGCAACGTCTAGCCACTTTGTGCTCAGAACTGTTGTGAATATTGATTCGACACGTGACGTTGATGGGGCGACGTTCATCGATTTCTTGTTCTCTAGCTCTCTTTCTCGTCCCCTACGGCAGGTATGAATCCGCTTCTGAAGGGGCCATTGGTATCTATGTCGACGAGGTTGATCGAAGTCCAGTTGCTCAGTGTGTGTATGCACTCACAGGAAGATCTCAAAATCTCCATCAACGACTCCCCGCTTCCAGGATGCGCATTCAGTCCGGAAACCTTACTTTTGTGAATAGATTCAGTCAGATAGGTATGGACATTCACACAATACATAGAGAATGGAGAAAGCAGCTCATCTTCGATCTTCTTCTTTTCTAAATCCTTTCTTCCCACAGCTTTTGTCGGGTCGTGATGCTGACGATGGTCTATCGCTTGACATGGGAACGGTAATCGACCGTAGTAGCCTTGTGTCCGTCGTGTGTCTTTGAGGCGTAGGGAGATTGTCAGATGCATTTGCGCTGCTCTTCCTATTGTCGAGAAGCTACCTGACGGCAAGCGACGTGATAGTATTGCCGATCGCACGATAGAATTACTTGTCCATCAACAGACTGGCACTACTACACCAGCTCGTGCACGACAGCTGGAGGCTTGTGATTGACACGAGCGCTGAATAGCAGGATACCGAGCCGGGATATCCATCTCACCATCAAGAGGTGCTGTTGGGGAATACAGTGAGCGTGATGACGAGAGACGAACGAACGCGGCCCATGTGATGATGGTGTGAGCTTTTGAGTTTGTCCCGTGGTCCCCCCGCGACAGCATCCACAGTGGACATGCTGTCCAATCCAAAAGACTTGCGAGCTATTGTCGAGGACAACTCCACCAAATATTGGTGCCAAGGTTCCTGCGGCCCCCAACTAAGGTACGAACATTCTTCACGTAGCACCACACTTGCCTGCCCGTATCGTCGTCGGGTCATGCTCCTGGGCACCTTTCACCAGGGTCTTTTCCTACATAGATACCTTACCTTACCTACCTTACCTGGTAGGTAGATACCTACGGCATGCATCGGGGATGATGCTAAGGATTTCATTCTGGTGCCCCACCCAGGTACAGGGTACGTAGAAAGAAACCTCAGCGGCCCGTAAGTGTTGGAGCTTCCACCTCGGGTACAGAAGGTGTGGTGCTGATGCGGGCAGCACGCACCTGCCTGAGGAAGAGCGGGCATGAAAACATGCAAGTACCGTCATGGTGCGCCGAAGAGCTGGGCCTACCTACCTACCTACCTCCCCACCTACCTCTTTCCTGACCTGCAGGTGATTTTGATCCAAGCAGAAAGGTAACAAGCGGTACAGACAAGACGGAAGACGTTCCCAGAACCTGAAAACCGGAGGGGCCTAGGAGAAACTCTCGCTCCTCAACTTCCCGCTTCCAACCTGTGTGTCCTGTGGCACCTGAGCCATCTCCGTCTGTAGTTCTGTGAGAAGAAAAAGTACAATTGCCGACTGAGCATTGCTTATTTGAACATTCATTTCAATTTACTCCATCGAATCTACTGGCGAATGCTGTGAGCCACCAAAAAAATACTTGGACATCGATCCACAGCCTCAACTTTCTCTCGCCGCCTGCACTACTTACCTACCATAACTACCTCTACCTACCTTAACCTACCTACCTACCTAACCGTACGTTCTTCTCTCAATTGTCTACGCCCACGCCCGCGCCCAGCTCAGCCCAGCTCAGCCCAGCCCGCCAGCAGTGTGAGACATACAGCAACAAGCAGCATCTCGCGACAGTCGCTTGCAACGCCTGGACGCCGGATCAAGCCTGCCGCCTCCCTCAACGCTCAAGTCTTGGCTACCCGACCCTCCCAGGATCAGCCAGAGGGAGACTCGTCTCAAACAAAGGCCTCCGGCACGGGGTTTGGAAGCCTGCCTGTCTGCCGCAGACTGTGCGACTCATTCCTCCAGCTGTTGACTGCCTTACCCTGTCTCGATCGGCGCTCCTTCGCCTTGCTGCCCTGCCCTGCCTTGCCTGGGCAGTCGACAGAACGACGAACAACAAGCCCGCACGCCAGTCAAGACCATCACCGAGCTTGATTCATCCACCACCCACCCGCGCGTCTCAGGACCGCACGACCTTTCCTGTTCATCTTCCAGCCCCGTGGCACAACATCAGCTGCACACAATCCTGCCCCATACGTTGCCTGATCTGAGGTTGCACCCAGTACCTACAGAGCTTCCGCCATTGAACGCCCACTTCGTCAAACTGCACTACACCAGATCGGATCGCCGACCCAACCTGCAACCCCCTCAACGACTCGACCCCGCCGTTGCCCTTTCGACTTTGCATCGACAACACGGACGCTTTGCCCTGCCGCCATACCAGTCCCCCTCCGAACACTATACACGACGGTCGACGCCCCTCCAAGTATGATACAGACGCATGGGGGATCCAGCAAAAATGGTATGCATGAATAACGCCGTTCGCGTCTGGGAACAGTGTCCGCCATATTTCTACTCTCCTCTCTTCGACCGCCCCCTC